ATAATTATTATACGAAAAACTCTTATATAAATTGACGAGCGTCTTATTTCACCGAGTAGTGACACATAGTTATAATGCCGGTGTTGTTTACCCTCAGAACTCACTCTTCTCTTGACATCTTGCTACTCGCTACATTAGAACTATAAATTATAAAGTTTCATCTGACATTTTTGTCGTTTTGAGTTACTTAGACGATGAGCTCAGAAACCAAATTTCCAAAATATGCTTAATTAAAATCGTCATTTTATACGGAGTCGTTATGAAGATATTCAAAGAATTACATTCGAAAACCCTTGGCCATGATGTAAACTCAAAATCTTTAACTTCAAATATCTCAAAACTAGGTACATTGTACTGAGCTGATAGAACTTTGTATTTCTAGGATAGTGACCTGGCACCATTGAACAACATACACATGTAATTGACATTTCTGTCTCTTTGTACTTGTTTCCCACAGGTGCTGAACCCGTGGACACCCTAACACGGGCCGGGCTCTGTACTTCTGGGACTTACAAAAATGGCCCCGACCTATCTCCACTGTTGACCGTCCTTGCTCGAGACGGCGACGATCGACTGCCAATTGCCAACTTGTTGATACACTCTCTCTTCTACACTCAGAATGACGTCATCAATATCAGTGGAGATGAAAACCTTTGTGCTGATGCCGAAGTGCAGAACTTGTTGCTACTTATGAAGGACGTTCCGTCATTGCAGCAGCTGAGTAGACGCTTGATTCAAAGGTCCATAGCCAGGAGAAAGGACAGAGAAACGTGCTTACGACATATGCCAGTTGGACCAAGTTTACAGAGATACTTATTGTTTCACGGTTCAGGCTCTCAGCAGATTCCAGCAACTGCTGCTGCGCCAGAGACATCAAATGAGCAGGACGTGTCATGAGCAGCAGAGAGCTTTGGACACATGAAAGTCCCAAGTACCGACAGTTGAGAAACAAAGGACAAAAAGCAGCTTGTGATGAAATGAAGTGTTCACTTTGTCTCTGGTGAAACATTTTACATCAAGTGACCTCTTATTGCAAGCCTCGTGTACAAAGTTAATTACATCACGCCTTGATTTGAAAATGTGTTTAGATCTAGATCTAGATCTATATATTTTTTTAAAATACGTACTATTTTGTTTTTGGTTAAAATTTTTAAAAACAACAACATAGGCTACTTAAAATAACAAGTTGTCAAAATAACATTAACTTCCTCTCTCTCCATCTTTCTCTCTCTCTCTCTCTCTCTCTCTCTCT